CCATAGTGCCCCATAGCGCCCCATAGCGCCCCATAGAGCCCCATAGAGCCCTAGAGAGTCCTATAGAGTCCCAGAGCGACCCATAGAGCCCCATAGAGCCCCATAGCGCCCCATAGAGACCTACAGCACCCCGTAGAGATCCATAGAGCCCCATAGTGCCCCATAGCGCGCCAGAGCACCCCATAGAGACCTATAAAGTCCCATAGCACCCCATAGAGCCCTATAGAGTCCTATAAAGTTCGATAGAGCCCCAGAGAGCCCATAGGGCCCCATAGCACCCCATAGCGCCCCATAGAGCCCCATAGAGTCCCATAGAGCCCCATAGCGCCCCATAGAGCCCATAGAGACCTTTAGAGCCCTATAGAGCACATAGAGCCCTATAGACCCCCATAGAGCCCCATAGAGCCCCCTAGAGTCCTACAGAGTCCTACAGAGTCCTATAGAGCCCCATAGAGTCCCATAGAGACCCATAGAGTCCTACAGTGCCCCATAGCACCCCATAGAGCCCTATAGAGTCCATAGAGACCTTTAGAGCCCTATAGAGCGCATAGAGCCCTATAGACCCTATAGAGCCCCATAGAGCCCCATAGAGTCCTACAGAGTCCTATAGAGTCCCATAGAGTCCCATAGAGCCCCATAGAGTCCTACAGTGCCCCATAGCACCCCATAGAGCCCTATAGAGTCCTACAGAGTCTGATAGAGCCCCATAGAGTCCCTTAGAGCCCATAGAGACTTTAAAGTCCCATAGAGTCCCATAGAGTCCCATAGAGACCTACAGCGCCCCATAGAGCCCCATAGAGACCTACAGCGCCCCATAGAGCCCCATAGAGACCCATAGAGCCCATAGAGACTTAAAAATCCCATAGAGCCCCATAGCGCCCCATAGCACCCCATAGAGACCTATAAAGTCCCACAGCGCCCCATAGAGCCCTATAGAATCCTATAGTGTCCTATAGAGCCCCATAGAGCCCATAGAGCCCCATAGAGCCCATAGAGCCCTATAGAGCCCCGTAGCGCCCCATAGAGCCTTATAGAATCCTATAGAGCCCCATAGCGCCCATAGAGCCCTATAGAGCCCCATAGCATCCCATAGAGCCTTACAGAGTCCTATAGCGCCCCATAGCGCCCCATAGAGACATTTAGAGCCCCATAGAGCCCATAGCGCCCCATAGAGACCTATAACGTCCCATAGTCCTATAGAGCCCAATAGAGTCCCCCTGTAACCCCACACCTGCACCCCTATAACCCTG